TGGACCTTCGGGATCATCTCTGCGCTGTTCTTCCATAGTACTAGATATCATTGCAGTTATAGACTCAGACATGAATTGCATGTTTGTCCTGATTTCTAGCATGTCACTTCTAATCTCATTATGTTTCTGTACATTGCCATCCATCTTCCTCATTTGTTCAACCTGTGTGGATGCCAAATGTGACCTCATCGCAACCATTTGAAGAGTCAAGATCTCGTTCATTGAGATTAGTTCCTCCCTCAACTCTTCGATAGCCTGCATTGTGTGTACAATAAATCAGTTATGTAGCAATTTTATGACANNNNTCAGTTATGTAGCAATTTTATGACATGTAACCTTTACCTACGTTATTCATCTGACCAGAGTTAGTACTTCCATGATAATAAGTTTAATAACAACTTACGTCATCTACCGGTGGTACATCTGAATGAGGTTCCTCGACTGGAGAGTGTACATGTGCATGTGTCTCCTGCCACATCGGTGGAGTATCAACAAAGTCGTGATCACCTCCATTTACAACAGCGGCATCAGTTCTAGCATCAGTTATCGTAAGAACTGTTGTAGACATGTTTTCACCTGAAACACCAGCTCCTCCACTCGTTCCGGCGGCTGACCTTTCCATCCTCGCTTTTTTCTCCGACTGTCGCGTGACACCCTAGGCTGAACTGGTCTGATGTACTGAACCCCCATCATATACGGCATATCCATCTCATTCTCTAATGGGTCAAGGTCACAGATTTGAATCTGACATAAAACGAAAAAAACATTATTAATAACGATAAACATCTTAAGAATCTATTAATTCACTAAATTTGAAATGCTCACATCAGGGTTTGCGAAGCATTCTTCGAGTCTAGCCGTGGATGGCTTCTCATCTGCCTTCTAGTTCAGGATACGAGGATGGGATACGGGCATCCTTGTGACAATGGTTCCAGTAAGACTGGGAATAGTCTCATATATCCATACTTGAAATGGTAGTAACAGACCCCTTAGCCTGTAATGTCTCGTCCTCTTACTGAGCCCCTTTCTCATGTCATTCAGAGTAGTTTCAAATAGGATTTTTCCCCAGGGAAATGTGTCAATCACAGAAAAGTCTTCCACGACCACAAACAAATAATGATCCACTACCTTCTTGTAGTCTCTTGGGAACAGATAGGCTGTAATAAAATACAGTGCTCCCAGCTTTGCCACATCTTTGTCTACAAGCACTTCAATCACATCTTGTTTTGGAAGTTGACAGGCTGAAATGAATGCATCCCTTACATTTTCGTGTGTGACAATGTTCAATTGGCTAAAATATTTTTCCTTCAACCTTGAATGACTGTTTCAAGTGTAGTTATGTCGCTATTTCCCGTGCATCGCAGACCCATTACTAAACATAATTCGACCATGGAGAACCTTACAAATCTACCTGATATGCAACACCAAATTTCATCTTCATTTGGTCAATGCACCTGTCTGAGAAGAAAGTAGTGGATCAACTGTGGCTGAAGTACTATATCGTGGCACTCCAAAAAATGCGCAAAGCATATACCCATTAGTATTCGTCATTGGGCTGCGTTCAAATATTTATTCAGGCTAGTGATAATACCCTTTGCCATGGACGTGGTTATTTTCCTTGGAAACCATTTATGTTGCGGTAACATGTATTCCCACACCTACAATAGAAGTTTATATAAGATCATAGTTGAAACATGACAGGGGTCACAGACACAAATAACGTAATACACTCAGTCACAAACACCTATAAAACATATAATAGGTTACAGAATTAGGTCCCAGATACATTATCATCACAATGACTTGAGGGAATATAGGTCACAGATCCATTAGGCTGTGTGAAATTCAATTCCGAAAAACATGTGACTAAATGAGGTCACAGACCTATTAAATCGCAATGAAAGAAGGGAATTAGTTCACAGATCCATTACACTCTTTGCGAATGGAAATTCAATAAAAAATGTCCACCATAAAACCTCCCAACCTTGAATACTACTTCTCAGACAAATTACAGTTCACAAATGAAATAACGAACAAATGTGTCACTCTGAAAACACCTTAGCCATGTCCAATGTCTGTTCCGTATCATAAACGAACAAATCCCAAAAAAACGAACAGCTTCTTCACGCACTGACTGATACTTGACCAAAGCGATTTTTGCTTTTCTTTTGGAGTTTTATTCGAACTGTCCAATGTCTTCCTTTTGCAAGTCCGACCCGACGTTTGGA